TATCAGTTATAGGGTGCTCAAATTTTCTTCAAGATAGACTTGCGTTCTGGTTAGCATCAGGTAAGGATCAGGGCAGAGGACATTCCCAAGACAGCCTTCACAATTAGGTATGAGCACTATGAGTTCCTAGTCATGCCATTTGGACTAACAAATACGCCAACCATTTTTATGAACTTGATGAACAGGGTTTTTAGGCAATTCCTGAATCAGTTCGTTATCATACTCATTGATGATATCCTGGTCTATTCAAAGAACAGAAAGGAACACGCTCATCACATGACTTATGTTTTACAAGTTCTTAGGGAAAAGAAGCTGGATGCAAAATTAAGCAAGTGTGAATTTTGGCATGAACAGACTACCTTTCTAGGGCATATAATATCAAAGGATAGGGTGTCAATGAATCTTGATAAAGTTGAGGCAATATTCGGTTGAAAAAAATTGACTTCGGTTAAGGAGATTCGTAACTTTCTAGGAATGACAGAATATTACAGCATATTTGTAGAAGGATTTTCTAGTCTTGCCGCTCCATTGACCCGACTTATAAAGTAGAACGTCAAGTTTAAGTGGAACAATGATTGCAAAAGGAGCTTTACAGAACTCAAGAAGCGGTTGACTACTGCACCCATGTTGGCTTTACTGAGTGGGATAGGTGGATATACGGTGTATAGTGATGCCTCTTACTTGAGGTTGAGTTGTGTTCTAATGCAGTATGAGAATGTTATAGCCTATGGGTCTAGGCAGTTGAAGAGTCATGAGAATAATTACCCTACCAGTGACTTGGAACTCACCACTGTTATTCACACCCTGAAGATATAGTGCCATTACTTGTATGGGGAGACTTTTGATATTTATATAGAACATAAAAATTTGAAATATATATTCACTCAAAAAGATCTCAACATGCGTCAAAGGCGTTAGATAGAGCTCCTCAATGACTACAATTGCAAGATTTTGTATCACCCGAGCAAGAGCAATGTGGTAGCCGACACGCTCAGCAGAAACAGTACAGGTATGTAAGCGTACTTAATGGTTTCCGAATGCAGAGTAATAGGGTTGCACAATAAATACGGCTTTAGGACTTGAAGAGGGTTACATGTCTTACCCATCTAACTATCAAACTCGAACTGATTTAAAGAATAAAGAAAGCTTAATTGACCGATTCTACTCTAGCAGCTCTTAGGAATAATATAGAATAGAGAGTTAATCTAAAACTTTGAGTATCTGCCGATGGGTTACTTAGGTTCCAGGATAGGATGTGTATTCCAAATGATAGTGAATTAAAAAGGGATATCATATCAGAGACCCATAACTCAAAGTTCACCATGTATCTTAGAAGTATTAAGATGTACCAAAGTATGCGATCCTATTTTTGGTGGAGCAGGATGAAGAAAAATTATCGATTTCGTCTCCAAGTGCCTTATATGTCAACAGATTAAGGCAAAAGATCAACATCCAAGCGGACTACTTCAGCCATTACCGATCCCGGAGTGAAAATTGGAACATATCACCATAGATTTTGTGATTGGGTTGACTAAGACACGTTCAGGACATGATGCTATTTGAGTAATTATCGACCGGATCACCAAGTTCTCTCACTTCTTGGTTGTTAAAATGACCGACCCGTTAGACAAGTTAGGAAGAATTTATATATGAGAGATAGTCAGGTTACATGGAATTCTGGTGACAGTGATATCCGACAGAGACTTCAGGTTCACTTTTCAGTTTTGGTTTAGTTTTCAACAAGTAATGGGAATGAAACTATCCATCAGCACCGTATTCCACCCTTAAACTGATAGATAATTAGAACGGACAATTCGCATACTTGAGGGTATACTCTGAGCTTGTGTTCTAAATTTTGGAGGCCATTGAGATGATTAC